CAGGTATCCGCAAACCCCATGTTGTTTCAATAAAATTAGATCTAATGCCATTCGGTTTTGTATAGTCATGCGTGTGGTTGCTTGTAATTGAACATTCATATCACGAAAACCTTTCTTGGTAGCTGCAGCTAATCTTTCAGTTTGTCGCATTAGTTTAAACAGCATTTCTCTATTGCGATATGATGCTATCGGTGCGAACCAAGATTCCATTACCCACCCAAATTTTACTCCGTCTGACGGGTTATGCCAATTTTCAGAGTCTTGTTCTGTATCCCTCTTTTGCCTAGGTTGCATGTCAAGTGTGGTCAATTTTCCTGATTTCCAGTATGGGCAAAGCGTAGGAACACCTAAGGTAATTTGTGTCGCCGGTCCATCTACGGGCATGTGAGTGGTCCATTGTCCATGTCCCATTATCCAGACTAAATTTCCTGGACTTGCCACTGTGGTAGTTAGGCAGTCGAGACTACGTAAATTGGTGTGACCTGTCATAGAGTGATTATACCCACGACACTCACAGCCTAATTGTAAAAGCATTCTTACAGGGACTAAGCTGATGTCATTATTGGGAGTGTCACGTGTAAATTCGAGTGCAATTCCACAGTCCCGTGGGTGAGACTATTTCTCGCCATTGTTTGTGTTTCGGATGTAAAAAGGAGTAATTCTGATTTGTGGTACCTACCCAGTGGATGCACCATTGTACCTGTCCAATGTAACTATAAACTTCTAAGAGGCTCGGCCCCCAAATTGTTTGCCATTCTTTCATTGTAGTGGAACTAGTAATATTTTGACACACTTGTTCGCGTTTTTCTCGCAGGATAGGGACTTTAACCGCTTTACACGGTGTATTGAGGATGACAGCCGAGGGTGACACTATACAATTGCCTTTGATTTGGTCACCAATTGGCTTGTCTAGCCATTGCCAAAAACCAGGCATTTCTTTACATTGTTGCTTGGTTTTCACTTTTGTTAGTAGACAGGCAGGTGTTAGATCATTCGAAGTAGTTGTCACAAATTTACAATTCCATGTAGTATTTTTAAACATTTTAGGGACTTCAGGTACTGGTATTACTCCCCATGGAATTGGATCTCCGGCTGATTGAGGCATAGGGAGGCATGCAGTAATTTTAGAGACATTTTGAACTCTCCCAAAATCTCTAATTAATCCAACTACTAAATTTTCTTGTGATATTTTTCTATGTGGGACCTGCGGGATTTGTGATGCATGAGTTTGTCGAGTCACTCGCTCAGTTTTTACATAAATAGAGGTAGGACCATTCCATCTGGCAGACTGCATGTGAGGGGGTGGTACTTGCACTGTAGTGTTTCTATTGTGTGTAAAATTGACTGTCTGTATTTTGACATATCCATAATCAAAACTCATACGAATCCATACTATGCAGGAATAGACACCATTTGCATCAGAGGTTACATTGGGTACCTGCAGGATGGTATAGCCTTCTTGCTGTGTCACATTCCATACCGTAGTCACACCATTCACCATAATGTGGTTCTGATCCAACCTCCGCCATCTAGCACTCACTTCTTCTAATCCAGCTCCCTGGTCGTCAGAGAAGGAACAGGTCAGATTGACAGCTGTACCTTCGGGTACTAAGAAAGAGGAATTAGAAACACAGACTTTAACAAATGCATTAGTAGTATTTATCAATAGCAACAATATTATCGCTCGTGTTACAGTCCTTATTTGACGGCCCTGAACACCGTTTTGGTCGGTGCAATGGGCTCTACAGACCACAGCTTGGGAACTTTCTTGACCCTCGTGTAGTGAATCCAGTTGTGGATGCCTTCGACCTTGACTGCTGTGTAGGTTGTCATCAACACCTGGCGAGGCCCGTCCCATGATTCTCTCAGTGGTTCTGCTGACCAATTCTTTAGGTAGACCTGGTCTCCTGGAGAGATGTCATGCACTGGATTTTCCAGAGGCAGGGGCCGATTCCACTGTAAGGCTCCTCGGAGTGCTGCAAGGGTCTTATTTAGAGACAAAATATAGTTAAATACAACTTGGTCCCCCAGTACATGAGGATCACCCCGGTAGGTTGCTGCATGGTATGGTTTTCCATATAGGATCTCATATGGGCTCACCCCGATTCTTTCTCTGGGTTTAATTCTAATTCTTAACAGAGCAAGCGGCAATGCTTGGGGCCACTGGATTTTTGCTTCTTGACAAATTTTCTTTAATTGATTTTTCAAAGTCTGATTCATTTTCTCTACCTGTCCACTAGATTGTGGTCTCCATGGAGTGTGGAGATTCCATGTTATTCCTAACATTGTGGCTAAATCCTGTACGACTCCTGCAATGAAATGTGGCCCTCTATCTGAGGACAATCCTAACGGTACTCCAAACCTCAGAATGATTTCTTTTAGGAGGGTTTTCACTACTTCCTTTGCTTGATTAGTTCTACATGGGAAAGCTTCTGGCCATCCTGAGAAAGTACACACGTACACTAGTAAGTACTTGTATGTTTGAGCTTTTGGCAATTCTGAGAAATCTACTTGCCAATAATCTCCTGGAAGTTGCCCAATTTGAAGTTTCCCCATTTGTACCTGTTTCCTAACTATAGGGTTATTTTTAATGCAGGCCGGGCAGGTTGCATTCACCCTTTTTGCTAGTGTTAACATCTGATTTGAGAAAATCTGCTGTTTTAGAAATTTTACCAAAGCCTCTGCACCCCAATGGCACTTACCATGTTCAACCTCAAGTACTGTCTTCATTATTCTGATTGGCAGTATTACC